GAACTGGGCTGAGGGCGATATAACAAGAAGGGAGGGGTGGTCGTGGTGTGTCCTTGCCTTGCTGTCCCAGCTATATGCTGACCATCAGAGGGACTTGTGTACCAGCTGTCATGTCCTAGCCAGCTGTCATGTTCTAGCTAGCTGTCATGTACTAGCTAGCTGTCATGATCTAGCTAGCTGTCATGTTCTAGCTAGCTGTCATGTCCTAGCTAGCTGTCCTGTTCTAGCCAGCTGTCATGTTCTAGCTAGCTGTCATGTCCTAGCTAGCTGTCAATGTTTAAATGTCCACAATAGATGTAAAACAAAGATATGTGTGTACCGTTGTTTAAAATGTCCACAATAGATGTAAAACAAAGATATGTGTATTGTAGATTAAAAACGTCCTTGTTCTCCTGACCGAGAACACGGAAGATGTTCCTCCTCTTGAGATTTCCATCAAAACTTGAGAGGGTCAACATCGTCATGGTACAGCAAGACTGGTTGGGTTGCCCTGGGTCTCATCCGATGGTTGGTACAACCAGGTTGGTACAACCAGACTGGTTGGGTTGTCTCATTTGATGGTTGGTACAGCAATACAGGTTGGGTTGTGTGTCCTCTGTACGCTAAAACAGGTTGGGCTGTCCTGCAGATCCATGTCTTATCATACAGTTGTCACTGCTGGTGTTTTATCTCTCATCAACAACATCTTCACGTAAGTGACAAGACAAAAGGACAGACAAATAGTTCAGGAAATGATTTATGTATTTTACTTCTCGGTCCTATAACAATTTGTCATACCCCAAATTTACCTGTATCAACATATCTCAAACAACATCCTGCAGTAACCGACAACACACCAGCAACATCCTGCAGTAACCCAACAACACACCAGCAACATCCTGCAGTAACCCGACAACACACCAGCAACATCCTGTTACGGCCATCTTGAGGCCAGTCAACAAATTTCCTATCATCTAAGATCGAACAAAGACAGCTTTACGGCTCCCGAGGCTTGCCGAGAGCCGTGTGGGAGCCGTCGATACATCAATACCTACAGCTGCCACCAGTTGTGGGGCATCACGTGACAGCTGCCACGTCAATATGTGTCACGTGGTCCCCCAACAGAGATACGCCCGTGTGAGAAGTGTAACAGCAGGCCCGCATCGAGTGACTTCTGATCACCAAACGACACCTACCTTCACTCGACCCGCTAACTTAGCCTGAATAGCTCAACTCATTAAACCACCCATCCAGGTTAGCCAGAGCTCAACTCATTAAACGACCCATCCAGGTTAGCCAGAGCTCAACTCATTAAACCACCCATCCAGGTTAGCCAGAGCTCAACTCATTAAACCACCCATCCAGGTTAGCCAGAGCTCAACTCATTAAACCACCCATCCAAGTTAGCCAGAGCTAAACTCATTAAACCACCCATCCAGGTTAGCCAGAGCTCAACTCATTAAACCACCCATCCAGGTTAGCCAGAGCTCAACTCATTAAACCACCCATCCAAGTTAGCCAGAGCATTAAACCACCCATCCAGGTTAGCCAGAGCTCAACTCATTAAACCACCCATCCAGGCTAGCCAGAGCATTAAACCACCCATCCAGGCTAGCCAGAGCTCAACTCATTAAACCACCCATCCAGGTTAGCCAGAGCTCAACTCATTAAACCACCCATCCAAGTTAGCCAGAGCATTAAACCACCCATCCAGGTTAGCCAGAGCTCAACTCATTAAACCACCCATCCAGGTTAGCCAGAGCATTAAACCACCCATCCAGGCTAGCCAGAGCTCAACTCATTAAACCACCCATCCAGGCTAGCCAGAGCTCAACTCATTAAACCAACCATCCAGGTTAGCCAGAGCTCAACTCATTAAACCACCCATCCAAGTTAGCCAGAGCTCAACTCATTAAACCACCCATCCAAGTTAGCCAGAGCTCAACTCATTAAACCACCCATCCAGGTTAGCCAGAGCATTAAACCACCCATCCAGGTTAGCCAGAGCATTAAACCACCCATCCAGGTTAGCCAGAGCATTAAACCACCCATCCAGGTTAGCCAGAGCTCAACCCATTAAACCACCCATCCAGGCTAGCCAGAGCTCAACTCATTAAACCACCCATCCAAGTTAGCCAGAGCATTAAACCACCCATCCAGGTTAGCCAGAGCTCAACTCATTAAACCACCCATCCAGGTTAGCCAGATCTCAACCCATTAAACCACCCATCCAGGTTAGCCAGAGCTCAACTCATTAAACCACCCATCCAGGTTAGCCAGAGCATTAAACCACCCATCCAGGTTAGCCAGAGCTCAACTCATTAAACCACCCATCCAGGTTAGCCATAGCTCAACTCATTAAACCACCCATCCAGGTTAGCCAGAGCATTAAACCACCCATCCAGGTTAGCCAGAGCTCAACTCATTAAACCACCCATCCAGGCTAGCCAGAACTCAACCCATTAAACCACCCATCCAGGTTAGCCAGAGCTCAACTCATTAAACCACCCATCCAAGTTAGCCAGAGCTCAACTCATTAAACCACCCATCCAGGTTAGCCAGAGCTCAACTCATTAAACCACCCATCCAGGTTAGCCAGAGCTAAACTCATTAAACCACCCATCCAGGCTAGCCAGAGCTCAACTCATTAAACCACCCATCCAGGTTAGCCAGAGCTCAACTCATTAAACCACCCATCCAAGTTAGCCAGAGCTCAACTCATTAAACCACCCATCCAGGTTAGCCAGAGCTCAACTCATTAAACCACCCATCCAGGTTAGCCAGAGCTCAACTCATTAAACCACCCATCCAGGTTAGCCAGAGCTCAACCCATTAAACCACCCATCCAAGGCTTCCAGCTCTACACCTACATGGACTCAGGTCGAGAAATTTTTGTCGAGAGAGGCGGAGATTGTGTTATGGTTGAAATATGTGTTCATACAAACAGCCGCCATTTTATTACGTAGTTCAAAGGTCACGGGGAATGCCGCAATCAGATGAAAAAATAAACTGCGTGGATTCCCCTGTGACGTCAGACTACCAGAAACCTGGCCAGTCTTTGTCCACACGTACATCAGCCATTCCTTGTTTCCACTCACACGACAAAGAACCCCTGGTAGCAAACACCCCCCACCCCCGTAGTGTCACCTTTAAACACCTCGCAATGGGGCAGCCTCAACACCTTCCGATCGTTTGATTGAAGCACGGAAGCCCGGGGCGGGGCCGGTGTTGATAGATTTCATTAGCAGCTCGTTACCTGGACTGTTGGTCATCCTTGTCCACTGTATGCTGGACGTGGAGCTGACCAGGTATCCGGGATCTGACTAAATGGAAGATTTGACTTCTGATCATGTCCATCTCGTTATGTGGCCGGGCCGCTTTGTTGTAGTTGGTCATCTGGCTGTTTAGTGGGCTGTCTTTTGCAGTTGGTCATCCAGCTGTTTACTTTTGTAGTTGGTCATCCAGCTGTTTACTTTTGTAGTTGGTCATCTGGCTGTTTACTTTTGTAGTTGGTCATCTGGCTGTTTTCGTGTGTATCAATACAAACTTTCAAACATGTTTGCCTCTGTGAGTGACCCTCCTCTCATTCATTTAACAACTGTCTTTATGAAGTCTCTGACTATATTCCTCCAACCTGATGGTCAAAGTTTGACCATCTTCCTCCAACATGATGGTCAAAGTTTGACCATCTTCCTCCAACCAAGTTTGACTCACACTTGATTTCTGGCCACGACGTTGACGGATCGTCCCGTCCCCCCATACACGCACACAATCAAGGTCTGACCAACCGTGTTGATAGCTGACCACTCACCGTTGTACTCGTGGCCAGGGAAGATGTGCCATTCGATGCGCCGCGCCAGTTAACCTGTAGGTAGCAGGTTCGCCACCAGTCTAGAGGGACTACAACCTCCTGGCTGGACAACCGTAGGGCGTGTCACGCACGTGCCACACTGACCTTTGGTCATGTCAGGTGCCAATCACGATCTTCACAATGAGATGGCGCATTGAAATATGACCCCATACAACGAAACATCACAATGAAACATGGCCACATCATAATGAAACATGGCCACATTACAATGAAACATGGCCACATCATAATGAAACATGACCACATACAACGAAACATAACAATGAAACATGACCACATACAACGAAACATCACAATGAAACATGGTCACATTATAATGAAACATGGCCACATCTACACGTCATGTAACATGGCCACATTATAATGAAACATGGCCACATCTGCACGTCATAATGAACCATGGCCACATTATAATGAAACATGGCCACACTGTAACGAAACATGGCTAGTTTTGGACAGTACAGTCAAGAGGTGACCTAATTGACCTGACAGTCAAGAGCTGACCTAGTTGACCGGGTCACTGATATGTGTCACTGTTTAAATGCTGGGAGAAAACAGTTTGACAAACAAAAACGAGTTTATCCGAGTTTTTTAATAGGTCACTGACCTTCGAAGCTGGGGGGCGCGTCAGAAAAGGCATGCGCATAAGAAGATTTATTAGCAGGTCTCAGGAAGATCCCTGTTAGATAACGGGAGGGGCGGGGCTGGGGGGGGGGGGGGTGAGCTAATGAAGAATGTACAAAAGGATGGGCGATGTGGTAGAGAAAATATGTTTAATTACCACTCGATCTACCCCACCAAACTGATCTAGATGAATTCTTTAATGGGAAGATTTTTTCCCATTTGTAATCCTCTTTGTTTCATGTTTTCCATGTCCCATACCGCTTTCTGTTGGGAATTCCCGGATAAAAAAACCGGCACACGTCTGTGTATTGCCGTCATTCCAAGGATGGGGGAACATGTTTTTTATCGTGTGGGGGAGGGGGGATGGGGAACATGTTTTTTATCGTGTGGGGGGGGGGGGGCATGTTTTTTATCGTGTTGGGGATGGGGGCAGGGTGGTAGATGGTAGGGCATTGTTTTCTCGATGGTACTTGCTGTCAGGTGTAATCAAGGACAAGACGACTAAACTAACCAGAAACTGATGTTGTTAGCTGCCGTTTGACCCTTTGGTTGGTGATGTTGTTGACCCTTTGGTTGGTGATGCTGTTTGTTTGACCCTTTGGTTGGTGATGCTGTTGACCCTTTGGTTGGTGATGCTGTTTGTTTGACCCTTTGGTTGGTGATGCTGTTTGACCCTTTGGTTGGTGATGCTGTTGACCCTTTGGTTGGTGATGCTGTTTGACCCTTTGGTTGGTGATGCTGTTTGTTTGACCCTTTGGTTGGTGATGCTGTTTGAACCTTTGGTTGGTGATGCTGTTTGACCCTTTGGTTGGTGATGCTGTTTGTTTGACCCTTTGGTTGGTGATGCTGTTTGACCCTTTGGTTGGTGATGCTGTTTGTTTGACCCTTTGGTTGGTGATGCTGTTTGAACCTTTGGTTGGTGATGCTGTTTGAACCTTTGGTTGGTGATGCTGTTTGAACCTTTGGTTGGTGATGCTGTTTGACCCTTTTGTGGTGATGTTGTTTGACCTTTTGGTTGGTGATGTTGTTTGACCCTTTGGTTGGTGATGCTGTTTGACCCTTTGGTTGGTGATGCTGTTTGTTTGACCCTTTGGTTGGTGATGCTGTTTGAACCTTTGGTTGGTGATGCTGTTTGAACCTTTGGTTGGTGATGCTGTTTGACCCTTTGGTTGGTGATGCTGTTTGTTTGACCCTTTGGTTGGTGATGCTGTTTGAACCTTTGGTTGGTGATGCTGTTTGAACCTTTGGTTGGTGATGCTGTTTGAACCTTTGGTTGGTGATGCTGTTTGACCCTTTTGTGGTGATGTTGTTTGACCTTTTGGTTGGTGATGTTGTTTGACCCTTTGGTTGGTGATGCTGTTTGAACCTTTGGTTGGTGATGCTGTTTGACCCTTTGGTTGGTGATGCTGTTTGTTTGACCCTTTGGTTGGTGATGCTGTTTGAACCTTTGGTTGGTGATGCTGTTTGAACCTTTGGTTGGTGATGCTGTTTGAACCTTTGGTTGGTGATGCTGTTTGACCCTTTTGTGGTGATGTTGTTTGACCTTTTGGTTGGTGATGTTGTTTGACCCTTTGGTTGGTGATGCTGTTTGACCCTTTGGTTGGTGATGCTGTTTGTTTGACCCTTTGGTTGGTGATGCTGTTTGACCCTTTGGTTGGTGATGCTGTTTGACCCTTTGGTTGGTGATGCTGTTTGACCCTTTGGTTGGTGATGCTGTTTGACATTTTGGTTGGTGATGCTGTTTGACCCTTTGGTTGGTGGTGCTGTTTGACTGTTTGACTCTTTGGTTGGTGATGCTGTTTGACCCTTTGGTTGGTGATGCTGTTTGTTTGACCCTTTGGTTGGTGATGCTGTTTGACCCTTTGGTTGGTGATGCTGTTTGTTTGACCCTTTGGTTGGTGATGCTGTTTGAACCTTTGGTTGGTGATGCTGTTTGAACCTTTGGTTGGTGATGCTGTTTGAACCTTTGGTTGGTGATGCTGTTTGACCCTTTGGTTGGTGATGTTGTTTGACCTTTTGGTTGGTGATGTTGTTTGACCCTTTGGTTGGTGATGCTGTTTGACCCTTTGGTTGGTGATGCTGTTTGAACCTTTGGTTGGTGATGCTGTTTGAACCTTTGGTTGGTGATGCTGTTTGACCCTTTTGTGGTGATGCTGTTTGTTTGACCCTTTGGTTGGTGATGCTGTTTGACCCTTTGGTTGGTGCTGTTTGACCCTTTGGTTGGTGATGCTGTTTGACCCTTTGGTTGGTGCTGTTTGACCTTTTGGTTGGTGATGCTGTTTGACCCTTTGGTTGGTGATGCTGTTTGAACCTTTGGTTGGTGATGCTGTTTGACCTTTGGTTGGTGATGCTGTTTGACTGTTTCACCCTTTGGTTGGTGATGCTGTTTGAACCTTTGGTTGGTGATGCTGTTTGACCTTTGGTTGGTGATGCTGTTTGACCCTTTGGTTGGTGATGCTGTAGATCTGGACACAACGTAATAATATCGTATGCGTCTGTTTTGGTGGTTAGTGGCAGGATTTCGGATTAGATCAAGATTAGAATTATCGATGCCAAAATAGTATCGAATACGCCCTCCCTTCTATGACATCGGTAGGTGAACTGGATTGTTTTAAAAACCTTGATTAGAAAACACGTTCATTATAGATGAGTACTATCTCAAACAGTAAAACTATTTTCAAACGTTTACGGTATTGGTAACTAATCTGGGAATGTTCTCGATAAGTGGTGCGGCAACTGCAGCGTGCACCAAACCGCACATGGGGTGCGGCCACTGGGTCCATGTAAATGTGAGCGTTGTGCTACGCCCACTCCTGTCGGCCTAATCTATTTATAGACTTTAAATGACGTCAAAATGAATTTCACTTTCTGGGAAGTAGGCGCAAGGAAACCGACTTGACAAGAACTTCGATTTTTTTTAGAAGTTTCCAAATCTTCTTCCCCTTCCCCTACCCGCTGTATAAGCTGACGCAGTTGCCCCCCCCCCCCCACCCCCCTTTAAGTCTGGCACAGGAAAGAACGCAAATCTTGGTCTGGATTTATCAAGATGCTCAGAAACTCGTTATATCTTTGTTTCTGGTTCTTTGTCTTCGCGAGTAGTTTCCCTTGAGTTATTTATAGCATGAGTCCCGTCTAATATTTCCCCGAGTCGCAGGATGGATGGTATCAGAATGTCGGGGGGGGGGGGGGGCTACTTTGGGGTGGTTAGGGGGTGGTTAGGGGTGGTGGGGGGATGTCAGGGGTGACTTAATTAAATACGAGGTTAATTCTTTTCGCGCGGGGGTAAAGGGGTAGGAATGAGCAGGTAATTGTTGCTGTTTTCATCATCAGCCATCTTCGTGCTGTTTGGTAGGGAAAAGATCTTCTACAGTATACCTAGCTGTGATAAAGGAGATTTAGGAAGATCTTCTAGAATATTCCTCGTTCTGTCGGAAGGCATGAGGGGGGGGGGGCGGACTCTTGTTATTAAAGTATACAATTTTCATATAAATTAGGCCCATTTATTTTCTTTTTTTCTTTCGGGTGGGTTTCAGCAGTGACCCCCCCCCCCCCCCCCCCCATCCAAAGAGATACCCGAAAGAAACTCCCAATAGACCTATTTTGTCGAAGAGTATGACGTTAAAATAGATGTAGATCTAGTAGTTATTTTATCATGGGTTAGTTCTTTCGTTGCGTAATTTCTGATTAACATTCGCGTATGCTGACCTGGATGTAGAAGTTTATATTCAAGTTTTTGTAGGTTAGTCAAGTTTTTGTAGGTAGGTCTAAGTCGAGTTTTTGTAGGTAAGTCACATTCTGTACTTTAGACAGGTTGAATTGAAGCAACGAAAAATATGACCAAGATGGATGACCTTGGTAACTACAATGGATTGGTGGGTTACTTGCCCTTGGATTCTTCTGTAGCTCATAGTTTACCCTCTCTTTCCCCCCCTCCCCCCTCTCCTATAATTGAAACCGTGTGCGCCTTACTATATTCGCTACGTACATTTGGGTGTCACTCACTCACATATCATTAATCCTCGCGCGTGCTTTGTAAAGTGAGCACTAGGTATGATTGTTATGATACTTGTTCTAGCCACTCACGTTAGCTGTCGTCGTGGGTAGCATTTCGCTACATCGGTGGCTAAACTGGTTCGTTTTGGCTACATCGGTGGCTAAACTGGTTCGTTTTGGCTACATCGGTGGCTAAATTGAGATTTTGGCTACATCGGTGGCTAAATTGAGATTTTGGCTACATCTGTGGCTATACTGATAGTATTTGATTACATCTCACGTTTGTCTGCCTACATCATGGCTACACGTGTCTTGTCCAAAGTTGTGGTAACAGTTAAGTTCAGCTTAATTACTATTTTGATTGCTACACTGTGTCTAGTGTGGCTACTATCGTGCTACACTGTGTCTAGTGTGGCTACTATCGTGCTACACTGTGTCTAGTGTGGCTACTATCGTGCTACACTGTGTCTAGTGTGGCTACTATCGTGCTACACTGTGTCTAGTGTGGCTACTATCGTGCTACACTGTGTCTAGTGTGGCTACCCTATCGTTCTACACTGTGTCTAGTGTGGCTACTATCGTGCTACACTGTGTCTAGTGTGGCTACTATCGTGCTACACTGTGTCTAGTGTGGCTACTATCGTGCTACACTGTGTCTAGTGTGGCTACTATCGTGCTACACTGTGTCTAGTGTGGCTACTATCGTGCTACACTGTGTCTAGTGTGGCTACTATCGTGCTACACTGTGTCTAGTGTGGCTACTATCGTGCTACAGTCTGTCTAGTGTGGCTACTATCGTGCTACACTGTGTCTAGTGTGGCTACCCTATCGTTCTACACTGTGTCTAGTGTGGCTACTATCGTGCTACACTGTGTCTAGTGTGGCTACTATCGTGCTACACTGTGTCTAGTGTGGCTACCCTATCGTGCTACACTGTGTCTAGTGTGGCTACTATCGTGCTACAGTCTGTCTAGTGTGGCTACTATCGTGCTACAGTCTGTCTAGTGTGGCTACTATCGTGCTACAGTCTGTCTAGTGTGGCTACTATCGTGCTACACTGTGTCTAGTGTGGCTACTATCATGCTACACTGTGTCTGGCTACCTTACGTCTCTAGTAACTCCATTATCGTGTGTCTATCTAACCAGATCTTGTCACTATCCTGCTGTTACCCTACAATGTGGCACGCGCTCTACCATGCGTCTCACTCTTTCTTCCCCCCCCCCCCCGCCACACAAACAATTATGTACCTGCACGAGCTGCAGTATCGAGCACCTGTCTAATCACATGACTTCACCTTGGTTAACTCGAGCATTCTTTAAGTTTAAATAGCTTACTTTTCCGTCTACCTGTGCACCCTCCACCCCTACCTTTACCAACTCCTCCCCCCAACTCCCCGTTTAACCCCTCTCTCCCCCCCCCCCCCCACCAGTGTGAGTGCTACAACTCAGCTCACCTATCCTACCACCTCCGTCGCGATTACTGGCCATGTAACATTCCGAGTCTCCCGGTCACTGCGACCTGGGCATCGGACGCCGTGAACTTTTGGAGGCCAGATTTCTCAAGTAGGTCATCCATTTCTGGGGTCTTTGCCAGGAGTGAGTGACACGAGCTCATTTAAATATATCGGAACTTTTTTTTTCTAGCAACGGTTGCAGGGGTAGATTCAAATCTACATTTTATAGTTCAGCTAAATGTCTGGTGTAACCAAATGTCTTCTGTAACCAAATGTCTGGTGTAACCAAATGTCTGGTGTAACCAAATGTCTTCTGTAACCAAATGTCTTCTGTAACCAAATGTCTGGTGTAACCAAATGTCTGGTGTAACCAAATGTCTTCTGTAACCAAATGTCTGGTGTAACCAAATGTCTGGTGTAACCAAATGTCTTCTGTAACCAAATGTCTTCTGTAACCAAATGTCTGGTGTAACCAAATGTCTTCTGTAACCAAATGTCTGGTGTAACCAAATGTCTGGTGTAACCAAATGTCTTCTGTAACCAAATGTCTTCTGTAACCAAATGTCTGGTGTAACCAAATGTCTGGTGTAACCAAATGTCTGGTGTAACCAAATGTCTGGTGTAACCAAATGTCTTCTGTAACCAAATGTCTTCTGTAACCAAATGTCTGGTGTAACCAAATGTCTTCTGTAACCAAATGTCTGGTGTAACCAAATCTCTTCTGTAACCAAATGTCTTCTGTAACCAAATGTCTTCTGTAACCAAATGTCTGGTGTAACCAAATGTCTGGTGTAACCAAATGTCTTCTGTAACCAAATGTCTTCTGTAACCAAATGTCTGGTGTAACCAAATGTCTGGTGTAACCAAATGTCTTCTGTAACCAAATGTCTTCTGTAACCAAATGTCTGGTGTAACCAAATGTCTTCTGTAACCAAATGTCTGGTGTAACCAAATCTCTTCTGTAACCAAATGTCTTCTGTAACCAAATGTCTTCTGTAACCAAATGTCTGGTGTAACCAAATGTCTGGTGTAACCAAATGTCTTCTGTAACCAAATGTCTTCTGTAACCAAATGTCTGGTGTAACCAAATGTCTTCTGTAACCAAATGTCTGGTGTAACCAAATGTCTTCTGTAACCAAATGTCTGGTGTAACCAAATGTCTGGTGTAACCAAATGTCTGGTGTAACCAAATGTCTTCTGTAACCAAATGTCTGGTGTAACCAAATCTCTTCTGTAACCAAATGTCTTCTGTAACCAAATGTCTGGTGTAACCAAATGTCTGGTGTAACCAAATGTCTGGTGTAACCAAATGTCTGGTGTAACCAAATGTCTTCTGTAACCAAATGTCTGGTGTAACCAAATGTCTGGTGTAACCAAATGTCTGGTGTAACCAAATGTCTTCTGTAACCAAATGTCTGGTGTAACCAAATGTCTTCTGTAACCAAATGACTGGTGTAACCAAATGTCTGGTGTAACCAAATGTCTTCTGTAACCAAATGTCTTCTGTAACCAAATGACTGGTGTAACCAAATGTCTGGAGTAACCAAATGTCTTCTGTAACCAAATGTCTGGTGTAACCAAATGTCTTCTGTAACCAAATGTCTTCTGTAACCAAATGTCTTCTGTAACCAAATGTCTGGTGTAACCAAATGTCTGGTGTAACCAAATGTCTGGTGTAACCAAATGTCTGGTGTAATCAAATGTCTTCTGTAACCAAATGTCTTCTGTAACCAAATGTCTTCTGTAACCAAATGTCTTCTGTAACCAAATGTCTGGTGTAACCAAATGATTGGTGTAACCAAATGTCTGGTGTAACCAAATGTCTTCTGTAACCAAATGTCTGGTGTAACCAAATGTCTTCTGTAACCAAATGTCTTCTGTAACCAAATGTCTGGTGTAACCAAATGTCTGGTGTAACCAAATGTCTGGTGTAACCAAATGTCTGGTGTAACCAAATGTCTTCTGTAACCAAATGTCTTCTGTAACTAAATGTCTTCTGTAACCAAATGTCTGGTGTAACCAAATGTCTGGTGTAACCAATTGTCTGGTGTAACCAAATGTCTTCTGTAACCAAATGTCTTTTGTAACCAAATGTCTTCTGTAACCAAATGTCTGGTGTAACCAAATGTCTGGTGTAACCAAATGTCTGGTGTAACCAAATGTCTTCTGTAACCAAATGTCTTCTGTAACCAAATGTCTGGTGTAACCAAATGTCTGGTGTAACCAAATGTCTTCTGTAACCAAATGTCTTCTGTAACCAAATGTCTGGTGTAACCAAATGTCTGGTGTAACCAAATGTCTGGTGTAACCAAATGTCTGGTGTAACCAAATGTCTTCTGTAACCAAATGTCTTCTGTAACCAAATGTCTGGTGTAACCAAATGTCTGGTGTAACCAAATGTCTTCTGTAACCAAATGTCTTCTGTAACCAAATGTCTGGTGTAACCAAATGTCTGGTGTAACCAAATGTCTGGTGTAACCAAATGTCTGGTGTAACCAAATGTCTTCTGTAACCAAATGTCTTCTGTAACCAAATGTCTGGTGTAACCAAATGTCTTCTGTAACCAAATGTCTGGTGTAACCAAATGTCTGGTGTAACCAAATGTCTGGTGTAACCAAATGTCTGGCGTAACCAAATGTCTGGTGTAACCAAATGTCTTCTGTAACCAAATGTCTGATATGATACATTTTTCTAACAGTCACATTCAGTATAACTGAAGTCATGTATACTGAGTGTAAAGGCAGTTTTATTTCTTAAAGGATTAAATATATGGTAGTCTAATTTTTCAGGCTAAATTTCACCTTAGCCATAAATAGGACTTAGGATTTCATTTCAGTCATAAATGTGACTTCTGATTTCAGTTCAGTCATCATAACTGTGACTCATGATTTCAGCTCAGTCATAAATGTGACTTCTGATTTCAGTTCAGTCATAAATGTGACTTATGATTTCAGTTCAGTCACCATAACCATGACTCATGATTTCACCTCAGTCATAAATGTGACTTATGATTTCAGCTCAGTCATAACTCTGAAGCGGAAGTGGACCAAGTCGAGTGTTCGCTACCTGACTGGAGGAGAAGGCGGGAGAGGCGGGGGCCGTAGGTAGGTTTGTTGTTTACGTTTGGTCCAGGTCTGGTGTTTAGGCCGCCAGCGCTGGGAACTTGTTAATTGCTGTAATTTAATTTGTTTACACAACCAGTGATTAGGTGGGGGTGGGGAGAGGGTGTGTGTGGGGGGGGGGGGGGGCGCCACTCTAAACCAGCCTGTGGATCTTCAGACGCTTGTTTTTGTTCAATAGGAAATTATTCACACGCCATGTTGATGGTTAAATAATGCTGGGGTTGTTGTTTTCTGTCGTGTCAAGTGATGTTGTTGGGGGGGGGGGGGGGCATTTTCAAGTGGTAGGGCTGTCTAAGCAAATTATACTGTGTGTCTCAAGTGTGGGGTGGGGGGGGGGGGTCGTGATGATGTTTGGTGTGAGCACGCTAGTGGTACCTGGGATTTACTTCCGTGTGGCGCGTCTTGTGTAGGGCTGTCACCACTTTGTACTGGCTACACGCTACAGGATGCTGTACAGGATGCTGTCACTTGCTGTATCGTACAGCCATCAGTTAGGTACCAGCTGGACGGCCAGTCAGTATCTGGAATCTTCCGGACGGCCAGTATGTGTGGTACTATCTAGACGGCCATTGTGAGTGTGATATCATCAAGACGGCCACTACGAATCTGCTACCATCTGGACGGCCAGTTTCTACAGCTGTGGAACTAACTGGCCGTCTAACACGTCAACGTCCTTGAACCTATTGTCAGTACTCGCTTCTAAAACAACAAGGTCATCACCAGGCTCGCGCTTGTTTGTCCATTGAGGCATAACGTTACTGGACAAAGGTGCACAGCCTCAGTGGCGTGGTCTACAGAATATTCTAGACACCCTTAGAGTCAAACAACGCCAATGGTAGGTGTTTGAGTGAGGTGAGACTGGGTTCTCCGCCCCTGGTGACCCGGTACACTTGGAGCCCACTGAGACTGGGTTCTCCGCCCCTGGTGACCCGGTACACTTGGAGCCCACTGAGACTGGGTTCTCCGCCCCTGGTGACCCGGTACACTTGGAGTCCACTGAGACTGGGTTCTCCGCCCCTGGTGACCCGGTACACTTGGAGCCCACTGAGACTGGGTTCTCCGCCCCTGGTGACCCGGTACACTTGGAGCCCACTGAGACTGGGTTCTCCGCCCCTGGTGACCCGGTACACTTGGTGCCCACTGAGACTTGGTTCTCCGCCCCTGGTGACCCGGTACACTTGGAGCCCACTGAGACTGGGTTCTCCGCCCCTGGTGACCCGGTACACTTGGAGCCCACTGAGACTGGGTTCTCCGCCCCTGGTGACCCGATACACTTGGGGCCCACTGAGACTGGGTTCTCCGCCCCTGATGACCCGGTACACTTGGAGCCCACTGAGACTGGGTTCTCCGCCCCTGGTGACCCGATACACTTGGGGCCCACTGAGACTGGGTTCTCCGCCCCTGGTGACCCGGTACACTTGGAGCCCACTGAGACTGGGTTCTCCGCCCCTGGTGACCCGGTACACTTGGGGCCCACTGAGACTGGGTTCTCCGCCCCTGGTGACCCGGTACACTTGGAGCCCACTGAGACTGGGTTCTCCGCCCCTGGTGAGCCGGTACACTTGGAGCCCACTGAGACTTGGTTCTCCGCCCCTGGTGACCCGGTACACTTGGGGCCCACTGAGACTAGGTTCTCCGCCCCTGTGACCCAGTACACTTGGAGCCCACTGAGACTGGGTTCTCCGCCCCTGGTGACCCGATACACTTGGGGCCCACTGAGACTGGGTTCTCCGCCCCTGGTGACCCGGTACACTTGGAGCCCACTGAGACTGGGTTCTCCGCCCCTGGTGACCCGGTACACTTGGGGCCCACTGAGACTGGGTTCTCCGCCCCTGGTGACCCGGTACACTTGGAGCCCACTGAGACTGGGTTCTCCGCCCCTGGTGAGCCGGTACACTTGGAGCCCACTGAGATAGAACAGGCACATCCGGTCGTCCCGACCCGGATGTAAGCCGGCCTATTTGTTTTATTACGTCGTCTTGGGATGCACGGTGGTTCTCAAACAGCTGTTGTTGATGGAACCTGCTCATGTTGATGCTGTTGGTCCTGCGTGTCCTGTCGGTCCTGCTAAAGTTGGTCATGTCGGTCCTTCAGAAGTGGGTCCTACTAAAGCTTTGCCAGAATCATTCTCCCTCACTTACTCGCAATTCCTCTCTCTCTCACACACATTCCTCCACACTCCATATCTCTCCCACACACAAACACCACACACACTCCCCCACACACACTCTCGTCCGCATCTCACATTAGCTCCCACACAAAAGCAGACAACACCGACCTCTCAAAACATTTCAGAAAAGTCTCCCTCCTACCAATATTGTCGTGTGTTCGAAACTTACTGAGCCAATCCGGTGTCGTCTGATTAACAACCACCCATCGCGTATTAACGAACCGCTCGCGGCTGATAAAATACTTATGCTTGGTTGCCATGATGTTTTCAATATGACTTTTTCAAATATGCAAATAATGCCTAAGAATGCTTCACAAATAGAGAGATATCTTTACATCTAGCTTTTTTTTGTTATGATTAATTGATGACATTCTGTGACCATAAATTTATGACATTCTGTATTGTTGTGTTATGTTAACCATAATGTTTTGTCTAACGAATATAGGGTTCAACTTCTGCCCAGAACTCACGCACATAGAAAGGGGGGGGGGGGGGGGGCGGGGTGAAATTTGTATTTGGTGTTGTTGTGTTGCTCACATTTGCCGGTCGCCGCAGCTGTGACTATTTGAATACATCAAGATTGTGGCCAGATAAACTTGATAGGGGAGCAGGGGCGCGGGCGTGAAAGGATGGAGGTGCTGGAAAATTGAGGTGTCACCTGGCGATGGGGATGATTGGTTTGTTCTGTTTGCTGCCGTGGTGGCAGCTACGGCGATTCTGATTGGCTGAAAGGTCTAGGCCCAGGTCACGTGACTAGCGTCTCGTGACCGAGGGTGTGAATGGGGTAGGTGAGTCGCCGGGGCCTGCATAGTGTGAGCCACCTCAATAAGGCGGCCCGCTGAATGCCGACAATTTTATTTTTTTTGTAATTAGAATGCAATTAGAATTTTATCAATTTTTAAAATCAAATATAAAATATCCCATGATGAAAAGATGTGTTAAATTGACGGGCATCGACCTACAACATTTGTTGTAGAGGTGGGGGGTGGGGTGGGGCTACAAGTTTGTTGTAGAGGTGGGGGACCTACAACATTTCTTGTAGAGGTGGGGTGGGGCTACAGTGTTTGTTGTAGATGCGGCAGTTTGTGGGGGAGTAGTGGCGTCACTCTGGCGTCATGCTAGAGTTGGTCACATGCGGTCAATAGCTGGTCTTCAGATGTGGTCACTTTTGTATCTACAGATATAGTCAATATTTTATCTACCGATGGGGTCAGACATCAGATGAACGTGTCAAGTTTAATACCCCCCCTCCCCACTGGCCTAACTTAAAACAAGATGACTGGCCACGTCTTAGACAACCCCCCTCCCCCCTCCTTCTATTCATATCGAAACAATAAAACCAATTCATCGGGCCCCACTAAAACATCGGGCCCCACTAAAACATCGGCCCGCCAGTCTCGTACGGCCATCGTCTTGTGCCCTCACGCCCCAGACTTCACGTGCATTTCTTCCGCTGCCAAAATCCTCACCCCACCCGCCAAACCCACTCGGACCCAGCCAATTTTAAGTGAACCACGTAAAAAATGTCAAACCATTCTGTCTTAGGTCCGAAATATCGACCAGGCCCCACAGAGGAGGGGAGGGAGGGGTGCAACACTTGTCTAGACAAAATGGCGTCGTATCCATGGAGACGTGAAGTTTATTGTGTTGTCTGCTACACTGGCTGCTGTAAGTTCTTGTCCGTTACATAGGTGAGAGGTCATACATGATCCCTAGGTCAGAGATCATGTTCTCTAGGTCAGAGGTCATACATGTCCGACAAGTACGATGACCCCCCCCCCCCCAACCGGCCATGTACGATGACCCCCCCCCTCCCTACGTACGATGACCTCCCCCCCCCCCACTACGTACGATGACCTTGTTGTCTGCTGAGCGTGACCAATCCAGACGTGGATTATCAACCTGGATATTTGCGTCGTGGGTTGCACACGGCTGGATTAATCCAATCCCAGTTAATCCAGCCCCCCTAATCCAGCCGCAGACACACCCGTATCCCCGTGTCTGTGTGAGATGAGGACTAATTAATATGCAGACAAGTTCCCCACCCCACATCTCCAGGATCCGTCTCCTCCATGTCGTGTCAATCAACCACCCCCACCCCCGCCCCCCACAGGAGTAATTATTCAAACGTTTGGGCCACATAACAGCATGCACATATTTTTATGGAGCTTCCCCGCCCCTCCCAACAAGAAACACGGCAATTATTTCAGACAATACAAGGTTTTTCTTGACATGATCTGGGGGGATCCGTCTTTATTGGCGGTGTCTTTTTACTGTTGGTTCAGTTTGTGTAGGGCGGGGTGGGGCGGGGTGGACAAGGGATCAAAACCCTTTGGATGCTGGTGGATTGGGGTTGATAATTGGGGCTTGTACATGTATGTTGTAGTACGTGTGTGGTGGGGGGGAGGGGCAAGGAGGGAAGGCGCAAAGTTCAACATCCTATTAATTAAAGTGGCAAAAAATAAATTAATTTATAAAGTCTGGACGACGTTTTAGTGTATATTTTTAATTAGATATAGGGGGGGGGGGGTGTTTTTAATGGTGACATGTAGGTCATCTCGCCCCACAGACTGATCAGACTTAACCTAATTAAACCTCAGTCCACACAGACAGTACAAAGGGCGCAGTTGTCTGCTTGAAGCTGTCAGCCGTCGTGTGCATTTTGTGGCAGGCTGGTCAAACCTTCGGACAAACTTTAGCCCTGGTCAAACCTCTGGGCAGACTTCATCGTAGGATCAAAAACAGACTCGTACATGCTATACTGCAGCTATACTATCTTTGGCTGACCACTGTGTAGTTCTGGTAGATGTAACTGGTATATCTTGTAGAAACCTAAAATAAATATGGTCAGGGTGGTGTGTGTTGGTTGAGGGGGGGGGGGGGGGTGCTCCTACTTTTTATACCCGTGAAATATTTCTGTCATGTTTTAATCCAAAAAAATAACTTAAAATGTAATCGAGAAGCTATAACAAAATTGCTTCCCGTACATTGATACATGTTCTGACATCCGTCACGAATTTAACTTCCTTAGACCAGAAACTAACCCTAACTCTAAACCTTATCCTATTCCTAAATATATATACTTGTGTTTTTAAATGTATGTTTAAAAAGCTGAGTAGTAGCAGGCAACCAACATTTTAAGTGTAGTCTTCTAGCACAGCCGCGACCCCATTCATGTCCCCTGCTTGTGTACATGCCAAACGACAAAACTCTGATTCTACTGCTACTTTCATTGATATTTTTTATAGCCTGCAACTCTTCGCGGTTTACGCTATGCTAATCATAGTAAGTATTGGACAAGTTGTTCTGTCGCCACAGATACACCCCCTCCCCACACCCACCCAGCCCGTTAACCCAGAAGTCAGCGACCAAAAACCCAAGGTCTACACGATCGTGGCTTTGCATTGGAGGAGGAAAAAAAAGCGAACGATTACGTCACAAGCGCGGGCTGACCTACTGACACACTGAGCGGCTGCCGGGGTTCAAGCTCCTGACTGGTCCTGTACCGCCTCTAGCCGATTGTTACATTTTTTTTTTTACAGCCGATCAGTGCTACATTCCTGGCTAGTTTAGGTCCTAAACATGGCTCAATTCTTCTTTCACAAATCCTTGACCGGTGAGCTGTTTTATGTGAGGAAATTATTTCTAATTTATTCGTTTTTATCGACGGAAACACGCGACTGTGTGTGTAAGGGGGGGGGGCTGAACTGGTTTCAGGACAGGACAGTAACTCGGTCGTGAATAAAGTGAAATGGAACGTGTAGAGGGAGTTAAGTGTGTAAATGTGTGAGGGAGTGAGTGTGTGAGGGAGGGAGTGTGTGAGGGAGGGAGTGTGTGAGTTCTACTGGACGGGTCGCTGGGATGACATTTTCTGGTTCTGGTCAGACGGAGCAGACGATCAACCGCTCACACACCCGGCACACAGGGGCGGGGGGAGAGAGGCCTGGTCGTTGACCTCGCTCAGCTCACCGCTGACGTCACTGGTCTTAAAATAGCCACGTGTTAACTCGCTCGACCTTGAACGTTTTTTTAGCTGCACGATAGTAGTGCATCAGTACCACGTCGTGTGATGAGTTGGTTACAAGTGCACCTTTAGCATAGTATGGAGAAAACTAGGGTCGCACCAAACATACATTTCACATCTAGCAGCCTCTGTTTAGTTCCTCACCGGCCTTTATAGTTGATGTAGGCTGTGAATTAAAAAATTAACAGCGTTTCCAACCTTTTAGTTTGTTTTCGTTGTTTTTTTTTTAAATACTAGTTTTGAACTTTCGTGAAATGAGTTTTCTTGAAATGAGAAGAAGGCATAGCCAATAAGATTTGCTGTCCCCATATCAGGGTAACAATAGTTGAACCACGTTCACTGCCCACGTTTATCATGCTGTTTACATAATATAACAAAATCATGGCAAAAAACCGACACGGTACAAAGGCTATCGCCATTCCCGCAGAACGCCAACAACACACAGTGTTGAAGAAGGCCTACAGCAAAAGATATATAAGACACAATGATGTGCCCACAATTAATTTTTCTAACAGATATTCACATAATTATATAACAAAATGTCAGTTTTCTTCATTGATAAGATGGAAGTCGGATTACAATTGTAAAGCCACAATGCCTTTAAAGTTTATAGATATCGTAAAAGCGTAATAATTTACGATTCTCATCAAATGGAAATATTTCTTAGACCATTTTTGTGACTGTGTTTGTGAGTTTTCCGTTAACTTTTTTCCAGTGTTACTTTTCTATGTGA